TGTGGAAAACCAGCTGCAGTCCATGTTTGTGTCTTCTGATATGAATCAAGAAAAACATCCTTGTGCAACTTTATCACATATTTCTATCATATATTTTTCACACTTTCTTTGGAAAATAGAGTAAGTAAATAGTATTTGTTAAAGTGCTCTTGTTAATCTCATCTAGAACATTTCCTTTGGCTTATCAAATTATATTGTTTAAAAAATTACCAATAACGTATTGTAAAAATCTTTAAGTTGCTAGGTCGCAAAGGTTGCAGATTTTAAAAAATTCAATCGCAAAATTATTATTATAAAGTATATAATATATGACTTTTTTTTCACAAATGTGTAATTCACATTTGTACATTCTTACTGTAGGTTTGTAAAAATCTACACTAAGAATGTACTCATGTTCAAAATTATCGCAACATATTGTCTGATTAAATTATGTGCAAACTTGTCAAATTACTAAAAATGTTTTGAAACTATGTTGTTCATTATTTATACTCAATATCATTTTTCTTTATTATTACCTTTGTTAAGAGCTGTTATGGGTTATCAAATACAACATCAGTCAAGTTATATGATATTGGTCTATCAGCACAGGTCTAGTTGAAGGATGTTTGACCTTCATGGGGTGTGGGGATTTGTGGAGAATAACTATAGATTAGTCTTGAGCATTTATGCAAAATGAAATAAAGAACAAAAAAAGTGTGTTATTCAACCATATTTAATGTCTTACACAATCGTTTACACAGTGATGTTTTAAAATAAAAAAATTTAAAAAACTACCATCAGAATTATTCATGTATGTTTTTGCTTTATGAAGCCATGTTACACATTCTATGCTAATTTCCTTCTGTTTCCTATTACCACTGCAATATACTCACGGCCTGTTTTATATTTTGATACATGACCAAAGTTCTTGCAATTCAATTGCAACACAAGTAAGACTAATTGGTAATCAGGTCTGGATTTTGCAGGCCAGCATGCCAAGGTGAACAAATGTAGTAAATGCTGCTTTGAAAAAATGATTTTGAATATTTGATCGAGATTAGTGGAATTGCTCAGAGTTTTATTAGTTTGATCTTTCTGTTGTTAGAAATGTGTGGAAAAGGTTTAATTCAAAGACTTACAACAATCATCTGTGCCAGAGACAGCTTGCTTTCAACTCAAGTTAACACAGACCTTTATATCAAAGATATTTAAACAGACTGTGACTCAGTAGTCAATGAAAATATTAATACTGGTCAGAAGATGGGGCTGTTAACCAAAATTTAAATATAGCAGTTCCTGAAAAGGTTCAGCAAAAAATCTGAATTTGAAATATTGAAAAACATGAACATGCAACAATAGATAAAATGGAATATGGTTTATTCTTCATTAAACATTACAAAGCACAAAATAAAACCAAGAAAAACATGCTCAAAAGTCACAGAGTAAAGCATGTGTGTAAAAAAAAAGAAAAGAAAGAAAAAGTGATTAATATTTGAAGTCATATGAAGGTGATGTAAACTAACGGACACCATCAGTCCAGAAAACAACAAACTGAAAACATCAGAAATTAACCACCACCACAACTTTCAGGAATTCAGGAAGCTGGAAATCAGAGTTAAGGGGAAGAAGAACACAATGAAGAATAGTACAAAAGGTTAAGTAAAAAAATAACATAATTCCTTTTTTGTTTACATTTTTTTCTGATATTTTCATATTCTAGATATTCTAGATACATATTTAAGCATTTTTTATTCATCTTTAGGCATAAAAAGAACATTTTAGAACTTCATTTTTTAAACATGTACTTTTTAAAGAGTTTTTTACATGTTCACTTAGGTGGACAATTTATAGTGTATAGAGTGAGACATCAATGTCCAGTGTAGTGGTTTATGTGCAAGTATACCATCGACACTGACACAAATACAAGAAAATAGCCCTTGAATAGCTGTCTACTGTAGTGACCACTATGCGTGAAACGGTTAAACATACCTGATTATATTCTGATCAGTATTAAGCAATTAAGCATAATTGACTATCAGAAAAAAAAAAAACCTAATACCATTTCTCTTATTCACAATCACGTATAATGATGGGTTGTGTCACGGTACTGGGTGACCCAGTTTCGTTGTATTTTGTTATTCATTTCTGTTCTAGTTTCAGTTTAGCTTATCTAGTTAATTTCTGCCATTTTAGTCCTTTGTTTTTTAGATCCTTTTGTGTCATCTGCCCCTGTAGTAAGTCTCCCTGGTTTGTGTGTCTACCTATCATGGTTCTTGCCTGTGTGGTTCTTGTTGTCCTGTTTCCTGTTTATTCTGAAAGTCTTGTTTCCATGTTCTATGTGCGTATTTCCACTGTGGTGCCATTATGGTCAATTGTGTCCGCTGTTTCTCCATGTGTGTTCACTTCCCTCTGTTACACTCAGGGGCAATTCTAGGATCAGAGCTTTGGGGGTGCTGAGCACCCAGAGAGCTGCCCATCCTGGCAAGGTCAACTTTAGTCATCACGATGAGACTTCTTCCCC